TACTTTTTTCCTTTTGTACAACAGACGTATTAACTTCTTCACCGGAAAGTCGGCTAGGTGCATAACAGCGTGGCCGTACCCCAAATCGATTATAATTTCTGTCATATAACAAATTGTGTACGGCGAGATCTCAGTTCCACTTCCTTTATTTTCCCTACAACAACATTTTCCTTATGTACAGTTAACTCCACACCTTCTCCAGCAACGTAGCTAACATCACTACACTACCCTACAAAACTTACTGAAAAGGCACTATCTCCACACCGAAGATAATTCATGTGCAGCATCGCAACATAAATTATTACATAAAAAACAATAACACGCAATACAAAAACAAATATAAAAACACCTACTGTTCCAAACAAAACTAAAAGAAGAACAATGATTCATAATGATGCCTATTCCCAACCGGTACGAAACCATTGTAACAGCGTTTTGCTTCCACTTGTTGACAAACTATCGCTTTCCGAATCGCTTCCTCTACATGCAAGGCAGACGAACGCACCTCTTCCTCGTCTTCCTCTTTCAAATCACTCTTGCTGCAATCATCTACGCTAATAGAAATCTCTTCACTCTCAAACTTTATACACATTTCTGTCCCCAACATTTTCTCCATGTAACTTGTGTAATCTTGACTTTCTCAAGACTGCTTTCGTCTATTTGAGCGTAGCGTCTTTGACTGTTTCAATAATTTCCTTTCATTGACCTTGAGTTCGCGGACCAGCCCATTCCGAAAACGCCTTATTTCATTTTTTGGTGTGGGCCTACCGCGAACAGTGTGTGTATTTGTATGTGAAGTCGCCATATAACACAAAGTACGTATTGCAACAAAATATCGACACCTTCCTCTCCTTCAACAGTCACCCATTTCATCCCAACTGTGCAATTAACTCGGGTAAATAACATCCAACTCGTCCCTATTTCGCCCTGCACAATAAACTAATCAAAAAGGCAACAATTCAGATGACCTCTCAGGAAACATGCGCTTCAAATTTTCTACCTCTGATTGGTGCATTTCGATCCTCTGCCCATGATCTCTTCTCTGCACATTCAATAGGGAGCTTTTACACGTAACATAAACCATTTTTGAGCTACGCACGTCAACCAGAACTGAACGCTTTTCCCTTTTCATAAACATTCAAAATTCCAAATTTGTATTGCTAGATGTCTATACTCTTATAAAAAAAAGGAACAATTTGCGCAAAATCACTTTTCACTAATGTCAAAACTCCAACAATTCCGGTTTCTCTCGGTCTCCTAAAAGCCTAAGATAACTAATCCTCGCATGCCGACTATTTGGTGTTCTGCAAATATACCCCTGGCAAGATCTTGACTAAAACACCACACGAGTACATACGAGTAACACGACTACATAAGAGTAACATACATAGAGGATATTACACGGTGGCGAGAAGATATGAATTTTATGTTCGAGTGGCAAGAACAATATCTCACGAGTGAGCGAAGCGAACGAGTGAGATATTGTTTTTGCCACGAGAACATAAAATTCATATCTTCGAGCCAACGTGTAATGTTCTTTTTATTATATGGAGAAACCATTTCAACAAAAGCAAAAGGCGGGAATCGAGACGTCATTGAACGATACGACACTCACAAAGATGACATACGGAAAATACGCCACTCGGGTCCCGGATGAAGTGGCGTATGGAATCTACGAGTGGTTTAGTTGCCAGTAAAACACTTTCCTCCATATAATAAAAGTACATACGGGTACACACTGATGACATAAGATTACATACGGGAAACATATACATGTATACGAGTCACGTACGAGTATATACGAGCAACATACGGGTAAAAAGTAAACAAGGGTAAAAAGTACGACTCGAAGCAGGGACACCAGGAATACAAACAGCAGGAACACCAACACAGTGACAGTCTGCGTACCCTATCACTTGTAGTGGTGTGTTCGAGCAACTCGCTTGCTACACGATGAGGTAACAGGAATCTTACATCTTACCTTTATTCTTCGACTTCTGCTAACAATCTTAATCTTGTTACTCTTCTAACTCTTCCACTTACTCACCAACTTTCTTCTACCAAATTCTACTACTCATTCTACTGGCGAACGCAGCGAATTAAATAGCCAAATTGTAGACTTATTTTGGGCTAGCTGACCGGGAGAGCTTCTATTGAACATCTTATCGCTTATATTGCAACAGGTTTGCTATAGTTAGAAAAGCCTACACAGCCGCAACCGACAAGTACCAAAGAACCAGTTAATTGCTAACAGTGAAAATGCCCGAAAGGACCAAGCAAGCAAAACAGGAACTCGATTGTGGGTAAAACTCAAGGTCAGCTGTACTCCCCGAACAAGACTACTTCAGAGAACCAAAACTAAGCTTAACAAACACTTCAAATGGACAATACTACTAAAAAACACAGGAACTAACCATGTGGGGAAATACATAGAATCTCCTTTTACTATAAACTGTCCACTTGATTGCTGAAACAAAACTAAGCTTAAAAGATGAGATAAATCCGTCTTAAAAATAACTTTCTAAATACTTCACAACACACGTTACGAAGCAGGGAATTATTCCATCAAGCAAATATAACGTCCTTCAAACAAAGAATACCATTTCCGTAAGCCAATCTCCTACCATTTTTGTGTAAAGAAAAAAAATTGAAGAAATTTGAAATAACTTCTGGCTATTTTTCACATCTCAAATTACCTTGGTTTGCATTGGCGCAATCGGCTGATCCCTCAACTTAGAGCGCCTCATCTGATCTGACGGGTCACAGGAGAGTCGGTTTAAACCCTGGGTGTTAAAGAACCGAATAATTAATTAGTTAATGTAAAACTCGACGCGCCATAGCTTTTCGTAAAACTACCGCTGTATTGTATTGCGGGAACCCTTTTTCACAATTGGACTTTTGTGTAAACCTTGTGGTCTCAGTTGAGCGAATTAAAACAGTAAATCGGCGTGGAAATTGCGGTTCTGTTGTGTGGATTTTGATCGTTCTACCGTTAGAGAAGAATTTTGGTCCTTCGAGCCGGATTTAGGGACTGCAGGCCGTAATTTCGCCAGTGACGAGCAAAACAGACGTTCGAAGGAGACTTGTGTGGACAAGACAAAATGGCGGCAAATGCTTCGACATCAAGAACACGGAATTACAGGCGAAGACCACACACACATTGGAGGCAGCGTGCCGAGCGGTTAGAGCGCCGGACTTGTAGTCCGGAGGCCCCGAGTTCAAGTCACGTCTTCACCGCTAGCTGGATTTGTTCTCGGTTGTGCCGAGTTCAGATCCTCGGCCACGCTTGTTAATAGCAGAAATAGCCAAATGGTTCGCCTCCTACCAATTGGGATTCTCAGCCATATTATGTTTCCTTTGAATTATCGGTTCATTATCCCTGAAAAGCCCCATAATGGGGGAGGATAATTAGTTTATTATTATTATTATTATTATTATTATTATTATTATTATTATTATTATTATCTTACATTTAGCGACCTCTGAGAAAGAAAAATCGCCAGCGTTAGTAGACAAAATCGCCGGACAAGGAAGCCAGAAAGATTCAGAGAAAGAAATTGAGGGCGTCGAAACCGGGAGCACAGTGAGTACAAAAATAAAGACATTGCATAATAATTAGAAATCGACGAAGACCAGGTTGGCCGAAGCTAAAAATCACCTAAAGGGCATACTCGAGAATCAACCACCAGGTACAGAATTACCTTAAAAGAACACCATACGAAGAGGTATAAACAAAGTGAAGTCGGAATCATGTGTTATCGAAAAAATTGTCAGTAGTCCAAAAGAGATTGATGCCACGAGTGGAGAACCAGAAGGAACTGACACAATTATTGAGGCGTTAGACAAGGAGCTCGATGAGATTATGGTTTCCGTAGATTCTTTTATTGCGACAGCAGAGCAAACGGTACAGGCGAGACTAGCTAACGGATAGGAGAGTCTGTTTTGCTTTCCTCATCGATAGATGATGACCAGTCTTCAGTGTTGTCCATTTCATCTTCATATGTTAAGCAAAAGCAGCAAGAAGCAAAGGAAGCCTCTGACGGTTACTGGAAGTGGAGAAAGACCAAAAAGATAAAGAAAAGGAATTAGAAAAGCTGATTGCGGAGCTTCAGCTAACTAAACAACGGACCGAAGAAGCAAGAAAATTGGCAGAATTAAGCCAGTCAAGAGCTGAGACAGCAAAGGAGGCATCCAGTCCTGACGGTCAAGGTACTTTGCAACCGTCAACTGATCCTAAAAACTTTGTTCTCCTGCACAATGGAACCTTAAACAGTCACAAAGGAGACAAGGAGCAACCTTTAGAGAAGGCACTGCCTGTCAAGTTAAAAAGTGTTGATCTACTCACTTTCTCAGGGGAAGACAAAACAGACTATCAGGGGCACCCAACGAGAATATAGTTCAATACCACTTAAACATAGCATTGTCGAACGTATTTTAGTATTTAAACGGTAGATGAAGGCTTATTTTTATCCCCTAAAAATTTTTCATCTGTTCGGATTTCCTAGCTGAAAGTCTGGTGATACGAAAATCATAGGGATCAAAACTTACCTTTTCGAAAATTTCAGCCAGAAAAAAGGCTCCCGAAAATTCTAGGAGACCTTTTTACGGTAAAAATCCGTTAAAAATGGGCGATTATACTGTGTTTGGGAGGTTCGAAAATCCTAGGAGAGGCAGGCTAGTAAGAAAGTTAACAACAAATGTTTAGAAAATTCTAGATCTCAAATCGTCTTCCGAACAGATATTTTCCAAAAATTGTCCTTGGGTGCCCCTGAGACTATGAATCCTGGAAAGCAGCGTTCATGTCGATAGTTGACCGACTGGATATCCCTGTAGATGAGAAGATGCTACGCCTACTAAACAGTTTGAAAGGAAAAGCCCCGACACTTGTGAAGGACCTTGGGTAATCAACACATGCTTATGAGAAAGCAAAAGACAAGCTTGATAAGAAGTATGGTGGAGAGCGGCGTTTACAGATAAAGCACTTGACAGCACTACGCACATGGCCAAGGGTTCGACCTCGAAATCTTGCAGACATGGAAGAATTCCAAGCCGTACTAGAAAGAGTAATGATAGCACTGCAAGACAGTGGACCAGCCAGGGAGTTGCAAGGACAGAACTTTAACTTTACAGCCAAGGAAAAACTTTCGGAAGAGGATGTTCAATCGTACAAGTATTGGCTTATTGACCGTGCTTTAGAAGATAATTTTGAGACACTTGCTGAGTGGGTTGAGCTTAGAGTGCAAATAATGGAAGAGGCTAAGGAGGAGACAAGTGGAGTTCGAGGCGACCGAACTCGTGCCAGAGGGTTTACAACACGCGCTCTCAAACAAAGAGCTGCGTTGTTGACACCTGCAAAATAGGCCACCAACCTTGGGTTTGCAAAGCCTTGAAGCAGCTGCCTGTCCTGATGAGAAGGAAGTTGATTAGTAGCACTGGTCTTTGTTATCGTTGCCTAGCGGCTGGTCATCACAGCAAAGAGTGTCCTAATGCTTTCAATGGATGCACAAGTACCAGCCACAGCAGCTATCTCCACGACAACACTCTCAGTAAAACAGGAGACTGGTCACATGACCGACTACGATCCGACGCTCCACCGTTTCGACCGCCGGCGCAGCCTCGTTTAGGAATTGGAGCCTCGCAAGTTACAGGAGCAGGTGCTAATGGCTCAGCATCACAACGGCAGCAAAACCCTGAAGAACAGACATACAGAACTAGACATACTGAGCGTGTCTCACTAATGATCTTGCCTTGGAGGGAACTGAAGAAAAAGTGGCCCCAACTATGCCATAGGCCTTTTGGGAATGCATCTGGGCGACGCCAGGTTGATGTAATGATTAGCATCGACCATCCAAGTCTTCCATCCTGTGTTGAAGGAAACCTGTGAAAACAAACCAAATGACCTGTTGCACGGTTGACCAATTTGGGCCGGGTGTGCTTTGGTCCTACATTGGGGGAAGAGTTTCGTAGGAACTCTTGTTCACATTTCACCCGTACATATCGAAGTAGTCAAGCTAACAAGCCGCCGCCACCCGATAACATTTTGCTTGCATTTTGGGAGCTCGAATCCCTGGTGATCAGAGACACCACCGAGCAAACGATGACAGCTGAGGAGATAGCAGCAGTTGAAGGAGTCGCTGAGACCTTGAAGTGTAATGACGAACGATGCAAGATTGGAGTCTCCTGGAAAGAAGGCGAGCCGAAGTTGACCAGTAATTATGAAATAGCAATTGAAAGACTTAAGAGTCAAGAGAAGTCCCTAAGGAGAAAAGGCCCGGAGGTGATGAAGGCCCACTCCAAGATCTTTGACGACTATGAGAAGAAGAATTACATACAGAAAGTACCCAAGTCAGAAGCTGAGGAGCAATGGTTTCTGCCACACTTTCCGGTGATCAGAGAAGATAGAGTTACAGCGAAGGTCCGTATCGCCTTTGACGCTTCAGTGAAACATGACGGAAAAAGCTTAAACAGTGCCATACGACTAGGGCCATAGCTTCAGAAAGACTTAGTTCATGTACTGACTCGTTTTCGCCGGGCACCTGTAGCTCTTTCAGCTGACATTTCTGAGATGTTCTTGCAAGTTGACCTTCAAGACTAAGACCGCCCGTATCACCAGTTCTCTTGGCGTGACTTTGAAACTTCAAGAGATCCTGACGTTTATGAATTTACACGAATACTGTTTGGAAACACTGCTTCACCATTCTGCTCCCAGTATGTCCTTCAGACCCATGCGAAGACACATGCCTTGGACTTTCCCGAAGCAGCAGACACAGTAAATGACTCAATGTATGTTGATGATGTGCTAGAATCGTGTGAGACATCTCAAAGTGCTCAACAGCTACGACGTCAGCTGTCAGAACTGTTAGCCCTAGCAGGGTTCAAGTTAAGGAAGTGGTCTTCAAATGAACCGATAGTCATTGAAGACATCCCATTGCAAGACCGACTATCTACTCTGGAGATAAGCAAAGACGAGTTACTTAAGACCAAGACCCTTGGGGTCATGTGGGAAGCTAACAAGGATGTGTTCACATACTAAGTGGAACCACCTAATGTCAACAAAGTGCCTACATAACGAAATTTGCTGCGTGCCATAGCCAGCCTATTTGACCCGCTCCAGTTCTTGGCACCATTCACTGTGAGTGTGAAAATCCCGATGCAAGAAGTATGGATGGCTGGTGTAGACTGGGATGATCTGTTACCAGACGACTTAAATGCCAAGTGGGAGAAGTGGGTATCGGAACTCCCACAAGTGTCCGATATTGCTGTCCCCCGCTGTCTTCGCCTAGCGAATCCACAGACCACTGAACTGCATCTCTTTTCAGATGCTTCTAAAGTTGCCTTTACATCAGCTGCCTACTTAGTTTGCCGATACCAGGACCACACTCCATCGTCTCGACTTGTTGCCTCAAAGAGTCGTGTTTCTCCAGTGATAGCGATGATAATTCCCAGGATAGAGCTGATGGGTGCCGTCCCTTCACGTCGTCTGCCACAGAATGTCCTGAAGGTGATTTCTGTGGACAGAGTCTTCTTCTGGACCGACTCAGAGAATGTTTGGTACTAGGTCCGCAATCAAAGCCGCGAGTTCAAGCCATTTGTTGCCAATCGAATTGGCGAAATTCAAAGAACGACAAGTCCCGAGCAGTTGCGGCACATACCAGGAACGCTAAACCCAGCAGACTTACCAACAAGAGGCTTTTCTGCCAGCAATCTAGCGGAGAGTGACGTGTGGAGGGAGGGACCAACCTTCCTTAAAGATGATGAGTCAACCTGGCCAGCAGTACTTCCCTTGAAAGAGAACGCTGAACAGACCAGTGATTGTGAAAGACGAACGAAGACCAGGACACGTGACCAAGAGCTCTGCCAGTGAAAGAATTGACCCAAGCCGTTACTCAAACCTGACGCACTTAGTTCACGTGACAGGATGGGTACAACGGTTCCTATCCACCTGCAAGGATTTACAGAGAAAGGCTTGAATTATTCTGTCAGATGAGATAACAGCTGCAGAGACCTTTTGGATAAAACAGGCTCAAGCCCAAGCCTTCCCTGACGGGGAAAATAAAGGGTCGCTTACGCGATTGAACCCTAAGAGAGATGACAATGGCTTACGTTTAATGGATGGACGCTTGCGCTTTGCTGATAATCTTGCCTACGACACAAGGTATCCCATTCTCCAGCCAAAGAATCACCCTGTGACAAGACTAGTTATTGTTTATACACATGAAGGACTTGGCCATGGATCTGGAGTTGAACAGGTTCTTACCGGAGTCGTTTCTGGATCGTAAAAGGAAGACGAGTGGTGCGAAACTTTGTCAACGCGCGTGCTGAACGTAGACGTCGTTTCACCACAAAGATTGGCGGTCAGATGATGGCTCCGTTACCCAAATCGAGATTACAGTTGCCATTACGAGCATTTGAGAGAGTTGGTGTTCACTATGGTGGTCCATACTTGACAAAAGACGCGGCAAGACAAGAGCAAAACGCTACTTGTGTCTCTTCAATTGTTTGGCAACAAGGACAGTGACCTATAGATGGCTTACTCATTAGACACTGACTCGTTCATAAACGCGTTTACCCGCATGACGTAAAGGAGGGGGACACCTACCTATGTTATCTCAGATAATGGAAGCAATTTCGTTGGGGCAGAGCGTGAACTGCGACAGTTGATGGACGCCCTTGATCAAGATCGGATCACACAGGAAACCAATAAGTTTCATCGCATCGACTGGAAGTTTAACCCCCCGTCTGCCCCTTATTTTGGCGGCGTATTCGAGGCGATGATCAAAAGTGCAAAGAAAGCAATCAAGGCCATTCTTGGTGACGCAAATGTCAGTGACAAGGAACTTCAGCCAGCCATATGTGGAGCAGAGCGGTTGCTGAATTTGAGACCAATCACATACGTCAGCTCAGACCCTCAAGATCTTTCACCACTCACCCCGTGTCACTTTCTAGTTGGAGAGATGGGAGGATCGTTCGCCCCTGAAGCTCTCGATCACAAAAAAGCGGTGGCATCGTGTACAGCAGCTTCCGGCACAGTTGTGGAAGCGCTGGCGTAAGGAGTTTCTTCCCAGCCTCAATACTAGAAACAAGTGGTTCCATCCGAGCCGCAACTTGAAAGAAGGCGACGTTGTGTTGATTGCTGAGTCTAATGCCAAGCGAGGAGAGTGGCCTCTTCGTCGCGTGGTGGAAGCATACCCTGGTGGTGACGGTCTAGTGAGAGCTGTAGAGTCAAGGCAAAGAACAAGGTGTACTTGCGTCCCGTTCATCATTTGTTCCCTCTTGAATATGCTGAAAACAATGCTGATGACTGACTATGTGTAGCTGAGATGCCCGGAATTAGTGAAAGCATGCGACTGAAATGGCAGTCATGAACGTTGTGTTAATCCTAGATTTGCTATAGGAACATTGATTTAATATGTTGATTTGAACGTTGCTGATAAACAATAGTGACATTGTACTTTTAGATTTCCTTTTTGCATGTTATGAGCTAGCGAATGCATTGTATTCGGGAGGGGGATGTTAAAGAAGCGAATAATTAATAAGTTGATGTAAAACTCGACGCGCCATAGCTTTTCGCAAAACTACCGCTGTATTGCGGGCGCCCTTTTTGACAATTAGACTTTTGTGTAAACCTCGTGGTTTCAGTTGAGCTAATTAAAACAGTAAATCGGCGTAGAAATTGCGGTTCTGTTGTGTGGATTTTGACCGTTCTACCGTTAGCGAACACTGGGCAAGCCAGAAATAGTAATTATTTTTGCTTTATTTCTTCCAGAAATAAGTATTTCTTACTCATAGTTATTTCTTTCCCCTGAAAGAATAAATCAAAGAACTCCAAGAAATCTCGAATTACTTACGAAGCAACTTCGGGATCTCCGGATGCAACTTTGAAAAGTTCCTGAGCTTTGCGAATCCTTGACTTCGCGCTACTCCCGAAGTAATAAATTATTGAAATGTTTGATTTTAAATTTCACGTACATTCACTCCAGAAGTACAAAGTTAAATATCTAATAACCTCTATCAGATATGCCAGTTTATTTAAAAAACATACAAAGTAAATCACCAATTCCTTCCTTTGATTTTTTTGACCACGTGACATGTTACGTGACCATAATTTTACCGGTCGAGGCACAAGATAGTTACATTTCGGGAAAGAATTATCTTGTTCTAACGAGAGAGATTACCCATCAATCATTTTCCAAACACACCTTTAACCCAGGCATTAAACCCCTTTAGCACTTTTGTTGTTGTTTAGTTGATGACAGTCTGCCCGCTTCAAAATAGAGCCGTTCAGTTTGACTTCTATGCGGTCTGGTTGTTGCCATTTGTCTACCTTTGATATATACGTGTTGGCA